CTGCTTCTCCCTCTCCCTCTGCCTGTCCCCCTGCTCATGCTCTCTCTCTGTATCTCTGTGTCTCAAATGCATAAATAAAATCTTTAAAAAAAAGATTTTATTTGACAGAGCACACGTGAGCACAAGCAAGGGGAGCTGTAGGGAGAGGGGGAAACAGGTTCCCCACTCAGCAGGGAGCCCAATGCGATGAGGGGCTTGATCCCAGGACCCTGGGATTATGAGCTGAGCCAAAGGCAGATGCTTAACCAACTGAGCCATCCAGGCACCCCTATTAGGATAGGTTCCTAAAGTGGAATTACTATGTCAAAGAATCATTTACAATTTTTGCTTTATAGAAAGTACATAACCTGAAAAATTCCATCCTTGCCCCCAAACCCACTCTTCAGAAATACAAATTTTTATAAACATATTTTTCTAACATTTTCTGATGAACATTTTCATGATAAATTAACTGAATAACTGAATAAATTGAATAGGAAAAACCCATATAACCACCATCTAAATTCTACAATTAATACTTGGTTTTATCACATACTCACCTGTTAATCCATTCTATTTTTTTAAGTTACTTACTTACTTACTTACTTATTTATTTATTTATTTATTTATTTATTTACTTACTTACTTATTTATTTTAGAGAGGGGGGCAGAGAGAGAGAGAATTTTAAGCAGGCTCCACGCCCAGCACATGAGCCCGACACAGGGCTCAGTCTCACAACCCTGAGATCGTGACCTGAGCCGAAATCAAGAGTCAGATGCTTAGTGGACTGAACCACCCAGGAGCCCCTAAGATTTTATTTTTGTAAGTAATCTTTATACCCTACGTGGGACTTGAACTCACAACCCTGAGATCAAGAGTTGTATGCTCCACCGACTGAGCCAGCCAAGTGCCCCTAATCCATTCTATTTTTGATAAAGTATATTTTATAAAAATTGACTTATCCTATATTTACTGTTGTGTAACCTGCTGTTTTACTCAACAATGTTTATAAGTATTATGCCATGTCTGTGTAGACACGTGTATATTTACTTTATGCTTTTTAAAGAATTAGTATTCCAGTATGTGGATTTCTTTTTTTTTTTTTTTAAGTAAACTCTACCCTCAACGTGGGGCTCAAACTCACAACCCAAGATCAAGAGTTGCATGCTCTACAGACTGAGCCAGCCAGGAGCCCCTAGTATATGGATTCCAATTCAATTGAAAAATATTTGAGTAGACAATATTTCAGCACTTGGCATATGTTAGTGAACAGTATTCCTGTATGAACTGTGTTTCAAGGCAACCAAATATCCCCAGTTGGTGAGGGAAATTTCTTCTTTACAGCAGACTTCCTGTTAATGAATGCAGAAGGAATAATAAAATTAGAAATTCAGTATTTCGTGTCCCAGCTAATAAATGTGGAAGGAATGATAGAAACTCAGCATTTTGCATCCCTAGTCAAATAATTGATCCAGTCAATGGTCATCAATGGACAAAAGCATTAGATGCAACCCTGATAGGAAACTTTACCTGGAGGGATCCGGCTGTAGCCACCTGAACCGCTCACTGATTAATCCCTACATTGTTAAAAGCAGGACAACCTGCCATTGTATGTCTCCAGACACTCATAGCCTCAACCTCAAAAAAGTCCAACCTGCGGGCGCCTGGGTGGCTCAGTCGGTTAAGCGACTGCCTTCGGCTCAGGTCATGATCCTGGAGTCCCGGGATCGAGTCCCGCA